CATACGTTGAGTGCCAGGCGAGGCGCTCCTCTTACGGCCCCAGTGGGGAAGCTCGCATGGCGTCCGCGAGCCCATGTCGGCTCAGCCCTCACACGCGTCGTGCCCCCCTAGGAGCTCCACCAACTGCCCCAGTGGAAACGTTTGCATGCATCCCCCATCCCATTCTAGCACACCCCTCACACGCTTCGTGACCCTCAAGAACTTCCACCTGGGGTCCCACAGGTAGGGTTCACACCTGCCCTCCCCGCAAATCTCGGCACAAGCCTCCCACGGATTGAGGCCTTCCCTACTCTTCCTCATCCTCCTCCATCATCCATCCAACGCGGTAGCATCCTACAAAGACTCCGCCGCACTCGTTTCCGCTACATTACGCCCGCTTTGAAGACGGGAGCCCTGTGGGGCTGCCAGCCAGGTTCAGTTCTCAAGCCCTTCAATACACTCTTCGGAAGCTCTGAAAACACTGGTTCGGGCTGGGGCACGAAAAAAGTTGCAACACACCCCACTGCCAGCCAGGCGAGGACTGCGAGCACCAGACAATTCAGCGAGGGGTCCGACAATGGCCCCGTCTTGAGAAGGACTCCCCCTCCGTGTACCTGTTGCACAAGTTGTCACTTCGGGCAGTGTGCGTGACGGAGGTATCAAAGCGTCTGGAGCGAAAGCCCCGTTCCAAGCACACTGCCTCGAACAACCCCACCCGGCAACGCCAGGCTGGATCCTCAGGGAGCACCCCCCACGCTTTGGGTCTGGCGGCCGCGGCATGCAGCTGTCATTCGTCGGAGGCACGAGGCAGGATCCCTGTGGAGCACCCGCACACTCTGGGCCTGGTGGCAAAGGTATGCAGGGTGTGCAAGGCGAAGCAAGTCGGGAGCTCCTTTCTTCAACATCCGGCAGCTCCGACCTGTCGGGTGGGAGAGGATCCCTCTTCCTAATCAGAAGGGCAACGATCGGCGGGGGACTGGCACAGAGGGGGAAACATCGACCTGGAATCGGCTATACATCGCCGTTCAATCGGCGATTGGCCCCCGATAGCGGGAACCATACACGTCGTTCATTTCTAATCGTGTTCATTTCTAATTGTGCTCGTTTCTAATTGTTCCTGGCCCCCCAGTAGCCAGGAAGAGGCTCAGGACGGAACACATAGAAATGAAAGGATCTTGGTCCACCTCCTCCCCCTCCTCCTCCTCCTCCTCCTCCTCCTCCTCCTCCTCCTCCTCCTCCGCCTCCTCCCCCTCCCACGCCTGCTCGTCCCTCCCTCCCTGCCTCCCCTCCCCTTCCCTCCCCTCCCCTTCCCTCCCCTACCCTCCCCTCCCTCCCTCCCTCCTTCCTTCCCTCCCTCCTCCTTCTCCCCCTCCTCCTCCTCCTCCTCCGCCGCCTCCCTCCACAATTTCTCAATATGAATACTACTCTCCCTCTTCCCCTGATGACGGTTTGAAAGTGCTCGACCCCCCCCGCGTACCGTTTTTTACACACAGGTTTCCCTGGAGTTGGGTGTTCGCCTGCACTTGTTTCAAAATGCTGCTCTCGCTAAAGCGTCGGCCTCATTTTCGGGCCCCGCTCGTTCCGAATCGTGCTCCCGTTGCAGCGCTGGCCTCATTTCCGTGCTTCCGCTCGTTGCAAATCGTGCTCCCGCTGCAGCGCTGGCGTCATTTCCCGTGCCATGCCCCGGCATGCAATGCAATGCTAGGTTGATACTACGCTTTGCGGTGCTCTTCTACGCCATGCCATGCCGTGCCCTACAATGCATCGCGTACACGTTCGGGACCATTGCCCTGCTCGACATCCGACTGTGCGAGTACCGAGGGGATCTGCGCCATGGTGAAGGATGGGAGGGAGGGGTAGGATGTCAGATATGACGCGAGCGCACCTAGCTTGCCTCCCTCCCCTCCCCTCCCTCCTCCTCCTCCTCCTCCTCCTCCTCCTCCTCCTCATCATCATCATCATCCTCATCCTCCTCCTCATCCGCCTCCTCCTCCTCCTCGTCCTCCTCGTCCTCCCCCTTCCCC